CACACACACACACACACACACACACACACTCACAGTTGGGCTGGTGTTTGTGTTCCAGGAGGTCCCAGTGTGTTTGTTACAGATCCCTGGTGTGATTTGTACCACTGAGCTGCATACTGAACCTGACTTTAAAGCAAAGGTAAGGTCATTTTTTCTTAACCTTAAGAAAAATATTGCACAATGAGTTAGAAATGAAAACTACTGTAAGAAAACCTTTTATTATGAATGAAAAATTAGCTAAATCAAATGTTGTAAATCCTTTTTTGCTGGTTTTCTGAAATGTTGAGTTTTTCCATAGAAAGTCTTGTTTACCTTGTGAAACTCSTATCTGACATATTTGGTGTCGTCTCATGTGCAGCTGTCCTCARGTGTTTTGTCCTCTGTTGTTTCTTTGGTCTTTGTTTCTGTGTATAATCCCTGTCCAGCCCAGGGGTCTCCGGTGTTTCTGGTCAGAGCTGCAGTGGAACACAGAGAAAACAAAACATTTGGATGCCGCACCAAACCCCAGATARAGACCCACACACATCCAGGCCGACTGGGATAAACTGGTGAGTTTTGTGTTTATGTGGAAAAACAAACATCTCTCCTCTATTTTCATTTGCGCAAACCACTTCTGAATCATCATTTTCATACCACATGGAGGCAAAGTAGAGGATGAGAGAATGTGCCTTTTTATACACGTCCTTGTCAGAATACCTGTGGGTATTGTCAAACACTGGCAGCGTGTTTTCCATCCCTCCCCATCACCGTGTTGTTGTTTCAGAGGTCCGAGCGAAGACCCTCCAGCCAAATGACTCACATTGAGGAGAACACAAAGAAGTAGGTCTGCCTCCCACTGGAGCTTTGTTAGAAAATATGTACAGRCCTGAAACTGGAGGGAGGGAATGCATGACTGCTCTTCTGCTTTGTCTGTAAAAATGGCATGCTTCTCTCCAATGAGGGGCCATTAGGTTAAAATCATAACCCTCCAAAAACCTGCTGGTTTTAAAGGTTGAATATATGGAGTTTATTATTTTTTTGTACTTTTAGTTTTTTAAAAGTTTAATCTGATTGTTCTTTTGCAATCAGGGCCATAATAATTCCTTCTAAAACAAGTAGTCTCTTCTAGATATTTAAATTTTGAAAACATAGCATTATTGCTTTAAATTGCCTAAATTTAAGGAATTAAAAAGCAAGCATATATGATTACTCAAAGGGATAGTCAGATATTTTAAATTAGGGTTCTGTAAAAATACTACAGTATAAACAATTCATATCATATGTTCTAGATTGCTTTTTGAACAACTTCAGTTTGGAGTTTAAATCTGACAAAGCTGATGAGCTAATGGCTAATTTAGCTGAAAATGATTCAGATTRTGAGKTAAAATTRYGCGTGGTACTAGCTGAGAGTCATCCCCATTACATATTCCAGGTGTGAAATGATCGTGCCAAATTTTGTTAAAAAAAGTATAATGCAAGTTGGTGACTGAGATGCATTCTTTCAAGCCATGCTAGTTTTTATTTGTCACGCCTTACACTGGTATTCTGGCAGAAAAATTCCAATAATTCTGCAGGAATTGCTAAAGCTAGCTGCTGTTTGGTTTGCAATTAACCACATATTTCTGAGTCAATAACTGTGTGCTATACAAACAGCAATGTATAGCTTTTTTTTTTTAAATTTGCATAAACATCTATGAAAATTTAGTCTAGAGTTGTTTAGCCTGGGCCCCACTCAGACTAGCCATTAGCTTGTCTGCCTGGTCAGAATTAAACTCAATTTATGTAAACTGAGATCACTGTAAAAACTATCCACAACAGGTAAGATATTAACTGCTTATTCCATTGAAATCTACTTTAAAATATGTCTTTCAAAGCTTTTCTTTTCCTTTTTTTAGAGTTCTTTCAATGGTGGACACCTGGTGTCTTGGTAAGACCACCTAACTACACAAACACACATACACACACACACACACACACACACAGTCCAACAGAAAAAGTTTCTGGACAGTGAATGTTGCTCAAAACAAAACCTCAGCTCATAATATTGCACCAAACTTTGTGCTCAGGTCCGTGTATTCCTTTGAGCCCGCACTCCTAACCCCCCCAAAGGAGAGTTCGCTGAGCAAAACCTCCAAACTAATTTATCACGGAGGGAGATGCTGTGAAAGGGGAGGTGGAGTGGGGCAGTGAGAAAAAAAAGAGGAAAATATAGTGAAAAAGATGGGGGGGAATAGAACTCTACAATTACACAACAGCAAGGAGTTTGGTACTTCCCTATCGCCTCGCCGCATATTTATTTATTTTTTCTTTTGCTCTTTCGTTTTTTTCCTGACTGCAGTGCAGCTGTTTTAGGTCAGCCTTCACACAGGACCTTGCCTGATCTTAGATTATCTACAGATATGATCTCATACGTCCACAAACCAGTAAACACAGACTCGCAAGTGCACTCCTGGCACGAACCCTTAGGATGCTGTTTCCACAATATTTGCAAAAACAAACCACAACAAAACCATTGTTCAATCTTTTCAAATCTAGATGTAATTAAAATATTCAAAAATTAAACTCATTTATTTAAAATGCTAGGAAATACGCATAAAAATACCTCATACTTGCACTTTAATTTGAAGCAAGGAACYTTGTTAAGAAGGGTAAATAAGGATAAAAGACTGGAAATGTTGCGCAATCTTAAAGAAGAGCAGATAGCAGCTTGAAACTATTAAATTGACAACAAACCGCAGAATGGGTATTAAAGCTTATAAAAAGGGAATTATATTATTAGAGGGTTAAAAGAATCAATGTTTCTTAAAAMAAACACTGAATGGCAGAAATGTTTGGGCACAATGTTGAAAATCTTAAAACAACCTTCAGCACATAAGAGCCCAGCTAAGCTTTGTGTTCGAATTTTTTAAAGTCGTCAAATTTCACATCAACTTCCTCCTACCATCATCAGGTCCATCATCAGCCTTCACTCCAACATCTCTTTGATTTATGAATAAACATCGCCTAAACATATAAAAGATTACGAAGCTTGTGCGAGCAGTAGTGGCTCTTGCGCTCGTACCAACACGAGCTCCAAATCTGGCAACACTTTCCTGCAAGTTAGCCGTGCCGGGCTATTTATATCTGTAGCATGTCACAGGAAAACATCAAACAGCTTGCTTCTCGTGTGCACGATCAAAGTTACTGTGAGCTTGGGCATGCGAGCYAGTCCGGAGTTAACTAAGCCGAAGCACGGTCCGCTTTCATGGGACTGACAGAAAACAGCAGACGCAGTCGTTCTCGCACAGCGGGGTTGCTGCCTCGCAACCTCCTCAAGGCTGTGGAGATGCATCAAAAATACACCAAAAAGTATCTATTAATAAACTAGTTCCTTCTCTTCTTTTTAAGACTAAAAACATAATCTTGGTTTGTAAATTTCTACCAGTTGTTTTGTTTATTTGTTGGTTTTTAATCGAGTTGCCTTCCTGCGTCCGCAGATAAGAAGCTGGTGCCGCTTTTTCAGGAGGAGGACCATCAACAAAGGGCACTCATAGGCCTGGTGAGAGAACTGCCACTAACATAAAGTGCACTTCATGGTAAAAATAAATAAATAAATCAACAAACTTTGGGTAGACTGAGACTAAAATAAACCTTAATGCTACAGTGCAAACTGTGATGCTTAGGGGCAGGAGAGCACTTCCAAATTTAAGGAATCAGATTTTGGGAACTCGATGCTCAGTTCCAGATCTACAGTAAGTGATTTTTACGTGTAGGAACGACTTTACTGCTTCTGACATTAACCTTAAAAACATTCTGGGGAAGATTCAGACAAATCATTGACTAAATCCTTGATAATACCATTAAAAAGGTTCATATAGTGGGCCAGTTTGCCATAAAACAGCCCCAACAAATGCAGATGGCACAAACAGAAATGTTTCCTGGGAAACAAACAACACTAAGAACTTACGTTTGCAGTAATGTCTGAATAARACAGCTGAAAAAGACAGAATCAGCTGGATATTTTTACTTACTTTCCTCTTGAGAGCTTCAGACTTGCATATGTTTATGATGCATTTTAATGTGTATTTAATTAATGTGCAAGAAGTTTCTTTACCCCCATATGTGTAATAGTCCACTACAAAGAGTTGACAAGTAAAATTTATTTAGCTTGAACCACTGTGGAGATCTAGGTTACATATACAGTATATAGTATACACACACACCAGTAAGGAACAGTCACTGAAACTGGAAGTATTTAAGATTTAAATGACAAATTTCCAAACTCTGCTGTTAAAAAAAAYAGAAAAATCCACCTTTTTTGTTTTTTCTGTTTAGTTTACTGACAGTGCAATGAATTATGGGAAATCATCAGTCACTTAGGATCACTCAGATGTTTARAGGGTTTTGTCGGCCACATTCGTTAGACAAACGCGCCCAAAGTGGGCCACAACAAGGGGTGGTTCTAGGGGCGGGGCCACAAGCTTTTTTTTGTTATATTACAGGTGTTTAAACAGGTGTGACTGGTTAAATGTATACAACTTACCAAACCAGGGATTTTTGTGCAAGGATATTATACAAATACTCAGCTCCCCTATTAATATTGCAGCTTCTTAATGGTCCCTTAGAAAAATCCTAGCTCATCCACTGGCTGCGGCCCCTTGATTGAGACCCAGCCAGGGGCGGGGCCAAAGGGGCATTGGTCCGTGTTGAAATTTGATTGGCCCCCTGAAGTGCCCCTGTCCTGTCACTCATTGGTCCTTTGCCCTAGAGTGATGATGCTGGGTGCAGTTCCATGGCTAAACACTAGGGGCACTAATGGACCAAAGAGAAACATTCAGCAAGAATAAAGCTGACAGAAGATTTTTTCTTTTCTTAAAATTTGAACAATCCTGCAGAAAGTCTTTCAACTCACAAATGATGGCTGGATTCTCTCACATGCTGTGTGATTGAGAGTATTTTATCCATGTACTGTAAAATGCATGTAAAATTGGGAAGGAGAATTTAATGCAAGCTGTTTTAAAATTACATTTCAAGTGTTTAAGCATGTGACTAGTAAAATACATATAATATATGGTACCATACCAAAACCAGCAATTTGTGTGCAAGGATGCTGAACAAATACAGCGGGTAAAATAAGTATTGAACACGTCACCATTTTTCTCAGTAAATATATTACTAGAGGTGCTAAAGACATGAAATTTTCACCAGATGTCGGTAACAACCCAAGTGATC